TAGAAAGTTATGATAAATTACATAGGAATATGTAATAACATAGTTTTCATTTGAATTGCATTGTAAGGACAAGTTTTTCCGCACCTTTTATAACTATGCATGACACTTTTATACATATGTAAAATTACCATTGTGCAAAAGCGTGAAAGAATAACTCCAAAATATGAACAATAGTCCGGAAGAAAATTGTTGTTTTTCAAAAACATAATAGAAGCTCTTATTTTCTTTTAAAAAACTCATTTATATATGTTACATATAGGGTGGTAAATAGAGTCATCGTGTCGTGTTTTTTTCTAACATGACACGACACGATAATGTTTTATGTAACACGAACACGACACGACATGACGTGTACTTTTTTTTTAAATAACACGAAAACGAACCAATTAAAAAACGAGAAACACAACACGACACAACAAAAATAACATGGCAAATACGAAAAAGATGACAAACAAATATTAAATCGTGACAATTTCGTGTCGAATTTCGAACATGAGCAAGACACATTTTTTTTTAAATTTGACACGAACACGACATGAACATGAATTCGAAATTCAGTTTCCCTTCATTTTTGTTTCGTGTCTTGTATTTTTGTCGTGTCGTGTCATTAATTATCACCCCATGTTAAATTACTTAATATCCTTTTCTTTTATGTATCATTACTTGGTGCATGCTAGATTAGGTTTTATTTTGCATCATCCGGTCGCTAATTAACTTCAAAATTCTGGGCCTAAGGATGGAATGAGTAGTGCCACAAGAACAACACTCTTTCGCCATGCAGATGTATTCCACACAAAGTGTAGTTCATTGCCATACACTAGGTGTGGGAACCTTGTTACAGAGAGGGACATGTGAGAAGATAGAGGGAGAAACAATTAAACACAGTAGTGTTGGGGTGCAAAGTTATTCATTCATGACTTTGTAAAATGTTTTACTTTTGTAAAACCCACTTGCATGTGGTGCAATAGCTTTTTGACCCATTTTGGTAGTTAGTGTGAGAGAGAGACATGTAAACACCTCTATAAATAGTGGGTTTGTCCACTTGTAGAGGTGTGCTTTGAGAGACATAGAAGTGAGTGTGTAAGTGTGTGTTAATTATGTAGTCTAGATCTAGATCTTTTTTGTGTAACACCATATACATTCAATATATCTCTTAAACACCCAAATCACCATGTTCAATTGTGCAAGCTTTAATTCCGCATGCTAAACCGTGTTCTTTGTCACTACAATTGGTATCAGAGTGGGTCTTCAAGATCAAGGTGATATTTGAAGAACGATTCTCGGTTTGGCAATTTTTGTCACAATTTGATCAATTTTGGTCAGGCTCTCTCTATGATCTCTCATAATTTTTTTGAATTCGTGCGTTTCGTTTTTGATTGGTGATCGTTTGACTCGTTGGATCAAATTTTCTTTGAAGAACCCATTTGTTGTGATCCAATAATTTTTTTTCTGTTGATCAAGGTCCAATTCAATCTAATATACGTTCATTCGATTTTGATTATAAATTCATGTCTAGCCCAATCAAAATTCAATTTACTGTTCACGAGCCCAACTTGACAATTAAATCACTGTTCATTATTCATAATTTCAAAGCCCAAGAGATGATAAAATTCTTCCAATTCATATAAGTCGTTGATTGATTCATACGCTTTAACGTTTCATCTCTTCGTGAATTTCTTTAAGGTCAAGTTCTGGTATTTTGTTTCATCTCATTGTGAATCTATCATATGATATGTTTATCGAAATCATAATTGAAGTTTTGTTTGTTTAGACTTTGTTGGTTGAGTCTTATCGATCGATGGTTAAAGAAAATTGATTTCAACTGGAACTTATACCTAATTGAAATCATGTTCGATTTTGATTACTAATCATTTATTGAGGATTGTTTGAAGTCGATTTGTGATTTCATTCTTCAATTTCAATCTTTCATTGAGTTCGATTTTAGTATATACTAAAGTCGATATCTGATTATGTCGTTAGTTCTTGAGGTCGGTTTCTTTTGACAGCAAGAAAGATCAAAATTGATAGATTGGAGTTGTTTTCACATCTAGAATTTCTTATGTAATTCGAACATGTTATGAATGGATTCAGATCGAGATATATTTTTGGTATAGAAGCGAATTTTTTTTTAGTTGACTTTTTGGACTCAAATCTATGTTAACTGATTCGTGTGATTGGGAACGAAGGAATCAAAAGCTTTGAAGTCAAGTGTGATTATTGGATGCAGGATGCAATTTTGTCTAAGGGTTATTGATTTGTGATTGGTATGTTAACTAGGAATGTTTATGAATGAAGGGATGTTGAATCGGAGTCGACTGCACAAAATTAGGTTTGATTTGAGGATGAACGAACCTTAGGTTGTGAATGAATAACCGAATGGTTGAATTGTAAAGAACGAAGTATTGATTTTGATTTTCGAAAGGTTAGAGTCGATGTCAATGGCTGTGATTTTGATTCGAAGGGCTGCTTGTGATTTTTAATTCAAAGGATGTAATTGAGAATTTTGGTTTGAAGGGTGTATAAAGAATTTCATCGAAGGATTGAGTTAGATAGTCGAAGGTCTCAAACACGAAGGATCTGTTATTTGGTTTTTGGATTTTGAATATACGAAGGTGTTGAAATTTGAAGTCGAAGGATTTGTTGGGTTTAATGTTCGAATGGTTGAAGGATTCGAAGGGTGTGCTGGTGAATAAGATTCGAAGGGGCGTTTTGGATTTAGCGGAAAAAAAAAAAAAAAAAAAAAAACTCTTTGTATGATTGGCCTTCGTATAAATTCTGAAAAATCTTCGTATGTTTCGAATCTTCGTGCTTCGAAAGAATAGTGCAAATGACAAAGTTTCGAAAAAGACCCCTAAACCTTCGAATTGTTGACACTTCGCAAATTAAAGCATGTTTCGTATGTTTGATGCACAAGGGCATAATTTACGATGATAGTCCCTGAAACTTCGAATTTTTGGCAGTTTTCACCCAAATTCGAAAAATGACTATTTTTTGCTGAAAAATGAAGATTATGCATTTCAGGCCCCTACAATTTGTGCAAATTGACGCTTTCTACCCAGCTTTGGAAAAGGGGGAGAGTTTTGCATATTTTGCTTTTTTGGGCGCACCGGGTCACTGCAGAATTTTGAAATTGACAATTTCTACCCATTTTTGAGAAATTTTGTCAAAGGCGATCCGTGAACGGCAATAAAAATTGAATTTTTTTTGTGTTTTCCGGATTGAAGCACAAAGTTTATGCCACATGTTAAGGGGGAGTTTTGACACGAAAAATTCCGAGCACGTTCTTTTTCCTTTGGAGTTTTATAATCAAATTTCGATTATAAAAAGGGGGAGAAGTTGTATATGGAAATTTGAACTTGAATTTTTCATATTACGCGGACTTGAAGACCGAAGTGATCTTGAAGTTTTGAAGCCACGAGATGATGCAATTGAAAGTTCAGAAGTAATGTATTCGAAATGGGTTTGGATTTATTGAAGATTTTTGGGGTGTGTTTTTATATGCAACTATTGGGTGATTATTTGGAGTTTGGAATACTCTTAATCATTCGTTGTTGCTCGGATTGTATGGTCTCACATCCTAGAGCCCAAATTGAAGAGTCATGGAAGAATTGAAGATTGAAGTTCGTTTTGACATGTGTCACCTTTGAGGCTCGAACCGCATAGTGCTTGATTTTGGAAGATTTGAAGTGGGTCATTCATTCCTAACTTTGAGGGGGAGAATGTTGGGGTGCAAAGTTATTCATTCATGACTTTGTAAATGTTTGACTTTTGTAAAAGCCACTTGCATGTGGTGCAATAGCCTTTAGACCTATTTGGTAATTAGAGTGACAGAGAGACATGTAAACACCTCTATAAATAGTGGGTTTGGCCACTTGTAGAGGTGTGCTTTGAGAGATGTAGAAGTGAGTGTGTAAGTGTGTGTTAATTATGTAGTCTAGATCTAGATCTTTTTTGTGTAACACCATATACATTCAATATATCTCTTAAACACACAAATCATCATGTTCAATTGTGCAAGATTTAATTCCGCATGCTAAACCATGTTCTTTGTCACTACAAGTAGAGAGAGTACAGAGAGTACGATTGTTGATATACGTGATAAACCCAACGAATGACCTTATATTAGGGAAAAAGGACATAGGTACAAGAACTAGTCAGTCAAATGATTGTTAATCATTTAAATTATATTTAATTTTCAGCTTGTTTTTTTATTTATTTTTTATTTTTTATATATTCATATGCAGATGAAGATGTTAAATAAACCCAAGTGGAAGCCTTCGTGCCTCCATGTGACTGCATAGATTATCTCTTATTTGGTTTTCACTATTATTCATCAGAATTGGTCAAATGGACTAAGATTCTCCATAATTAGATGTACCCAAACGGGCCAACAGAAAATGTAAACCAACCACATTGTTCAGTTTCCATCTTATGATATTGAAAATGTTCTAATTGCCAGATACAAGAAACAGTACTCTCTTCTCTTTTGTTTGATCCTTTTTTTGAAGGAAAAATCACACACACCTAAATATGCTTGAAATCTACACCTCTATTCAAGCGGACTCAACCATCAACCTATCTGCTGAGGACACCTATCGGTCCAATAACTTCGGGGATCACTAAGCCACACACCCTTTGGTTTTTTATAAAGATTATTTAATTAACCAGCATAATTTCGTAAATGAAGATTGCCCATGGAAAACATATAGAGCGATAATTATATAATTTGTAGCTGAATTCGTTTTGTAATTACTTGGAAGCCCTTTTGTAATTACTGAGTTTGAAAATAATAAGATATTGTGCCAACACATACAATACACATTCACCGTTTGAAGGTCCATGCCCTGTTTGATTGGAATATAGTTGGTAAATGGAGCTAAGGTTGACAATGTAAAACAAGACAGACTATGAAATTAAAAGGTCATCAAAAAAAGTTTGGATTTAAATAAACTCTAAAACAGCTCATCCATAGACGCATTCACAGATGACTTAGTTATCATCAAAGCTATAAATTGAAGACACTACAACTTCCTAATCATCTCTCCCTCTGTGCATGCGTCTCTAAGCAATATGGCGATCCAAAAGCACATTGCACTTCTTCTACAACTTTTCTTTGTTGCTCTTGTCTTTGACATCGCCAATGGCTATCCGCTAAAATTAGGGTTCTACCAAAAGACGTGTCCCAGAGCTAAAGCTATTGTAAAAAGGACAACAGCAAACTACATTTATCGTGCTCCTTCTCTTGTTGCTGCTTTGCTACGAATGCAATTACATGATTGCTTTGTGAGGGTATGTACAATAACAACGAGCATGCATTGCTTATTTATTTTTATTTGTCTTATTTGAAAATATTACATAGAAAATGTGTGATGAAATGATATCGATATATATATATATATATATATATATATATATATATATATATATATATATATATATATATATATATATATATATATATATATATATATGATGTTTGTACAGGGATGTGATGGTTCAGTGTTGATAAACTTTACTAGAAAAAACCAAGCCGAGAAAGACGGAATTCCAAATCTTTCCCTCAGAGGATTTCAAATTATTGACGCTGCAAAAACTGTTGTAGAAGCCGCATGTCCTGGTGTTGTCTCTTGTGCAGACATCTTATCTTTGGTAGCTCGAGATGCAATCCACCAGGTATTTAATTGTCACAATAAATATTTCTTTTTCTATCTGAGGTTGACTCCTAGATCTTCACTAGGGCACATTATTATGGTGGCGTGATTATGTATTTTACTTTCCTTCTACAAAAAACCTACGTATTGTTTTTTCTTTTTAATTCAGATTAAGGGCCCATATTGGCCAGTGCCATTAGGGAGAAGAGATGGAAGAGTATCAATAGCATCCGAGAGTTTTACACTTCCTGCTCCTTTTGCAAACATTACTCAACTCAAAGCACAATTTGTCTCCAAGGGTCTCATCCTTAAAGACCTGGCAGTTCTTTCAGGTATTTGATCAGTACATGTATCTGCAATAAATAGTGCATACAAAACGGATTTAATTTCCTTTTAAATGATTCTCAATACCATGCATTTTCTTTTCGTTTTACTCTTTTTGTAAAACGTAAGAGAAAAAGACATATTGCCTAACCTGGTATAAATCAATTTTTTTAACGGAGCAGTATATATGAAAAATGCATCTTTTTTTATGGTAGGAAAAAAACAAGGATTTCGGCTTTAGAAATTAAGAGTTTTAACTTTTTTCTGAACTTATACACCAATATAAAGACTAACCAATATAACTTTTGAAATTGTATTTGTTTAAAGGAGGACACGCCATCGGGATTTCACACTGCTCTACCATTGCAACCAGGTTGTACAATTTTACAGGTAAAGGTGACACCGATCCATCCCTAGACCCGAGGTATGTACCTGAACTGAAAAGAATATGCTTTCACCCTGACACAACCACACTCCTTGCAATGGATCCAGGGAGTTCAAAAACATTCGATGACGATTACTACAGTGTTGTCTTGAAAAGGAGAGGCTTGTTTCAGTCCGATGCTGCACTTCTTAATGATAAAACTGCAAGTGCTTATGTCAAGCTTCAAGCTAAGTCTCATGGTTACACATTCTTTAAAGATTTTCAAGCATCAATGGTGAAAATGGGACAAATTGGAGTTCTAACCGGCAAGGCCGGTGAGATCAGAAGACATTGCGCTCTAATAAACTAAATGAGTTGAAGTAATTAATTGTGTTTTTCCCTTAAAACTTACTAAATTGAAGAGTGATTTGATTTTAATAAGAGATATCAAGGTAAGTCATCCTTGTTACTTCCACAAGATGCCCTATTGCGTTTCCAATTTATTGTTGCTTGAATGTTGGTGCTATGTAAATTTCAATTATCTTAGACATAACGTATTCTTTTTGTAAAGGGTGATGTTAACGTTATTATGGAGTACATAATTTATTGTACAAACACTACCATGAAAAAAAAAACAATCGTTTAAGTTCATTTCGTAGCAAAAAGCTATAGTTAAAAGACATTTATCTTTTGTAGAAAGCATCATCATAAACAATGAATGGCAACCCTAACAAAAAACTAGGTTAGCTGCTACAAAACATACTTACAGAACCAGTAGAAAATTCATACAAAATAGTGAAATATTGACTATAAAAAAATGTTTGCCCTAATTTAGTGATAGATTTCATATAGGATAGCTATAAATTATAATCGTGTAGGTGTGTAATTTGTTACCACTACTAGAAAACATGGCGTTTTCTACGGAAAATAGCTATGGAAATTTTCCGTAACTAATTAGCTACGGAGTCGCTACGGATCAACTACAAAATCTGATGCCCTAGTTTAGTAACAGAATAGCTACGGAATAGCTCTATTCCGTAGCTAGTTAGCTATGGAATAGCGATAGATGCGAATACATAGCTATTCTGTAGCTAATTAGCTACGGAATAGCTACCGATGCGAATCTGTAGCTATTTCGTAGCTAATTAGCTACGGAATGGC